CCTTCAAGTTTTATCCAATGTAACTTTAGCAAAAAAAAAAAAAAAAAAGAATATTAATAAAATCTACATGTATTTTCCGAAATATATTTTCGATGGAATTATAGATAATATCAAAACCGAAAAAAATCCTTGAGCCTTTAAAAATAAAAAAAATTCTCAAATTATTTAACCATTATTCGCAATTTATTATACAATTTATTATACGTAATTATACATCTCATGACTATGACTTCCTTTTTTCATTGATACTTGTAGCATTACATATCATGGAGAAAGGATATCTCAAATCATGGAATAAAACTCTGTAGAATTGAGTTGTATGTAAAAAGTGATTCTACCTTGGAAATTTGTTGATGATATTCCAGTTTGACTATGCCCCTTGTGTTCAAAGTTTATAAAGACCAGTGGGCGAGAACTACCTTAGTGAGAGTATTCCCTCGACTTCCGGTGTTTCGTATTCTCCGTGTCAACAATGTTAACAGTTCAATTATATACTCAGCCAACAGTTAGACATATAATTCTTGAAAATATTCGAACAGAAAAATATAGTTTAAATGAAAATTTATGTCTATGTAAAACTTAATAAATTATTATAATTATGAATAAAATGACTTCTTAAAGTTTCAGCTTTCTTTGTGTTTTAAACAAAATTTTGTTTGAAAATTTTTATTAGGTGATAAAGCGTTAAATTCTGAATACTTTTCAATTCAAAACTTTACTATATTTTGCATTATTACAGAATTATGTTTAAGAAAGCGAAAAGATTTTTTTCTTAATGTATGATAGTTACAATTCAAATTTCATTTTTTATCAATGTTATTCATATCTGATTCAGATGTATACGTTGAAGTGCAACATTAAAATCAATGAAAAGGAAACACAATAAATGACAATATAAATCTTGAAAAAAAAAAAAGAATAAAATACTATAAAATAAATTAATAAATTAATAAAACATAGCGTGACATTCTTTATTTTTGCAATTTTGAATGCCAATTGTTACTTTGAAACAAACTATTCGAGCATAATCTCAGGAAAATAATTTCGTATTTCTAAACTTATCAAATTACCTGCTAAAAAATTAATCTGACGAAAATTTTCGTGATATTTTCTTAAAAAGCTAATAAGAAAATAGAAATAAGAAATTTCATTTAAATGAAATCTTTGATAAAAAAAAATCCATAATACGGAAAAAAATATTTTTTAAATGTAGGTTTCCAGTCAATATCTGAAATCTGATCTTCGAAATTAGCACATTGACATTCGATCAACCACGTCAATCGCAAGGATTTCCTCTGAAGTATTGACTGAAAGAAAATTAACAGAGATCCCTGGATCGTTCTTATTTTCTATAGAGGTTTATGCAAGAACACGATGCCAAACTGAAATCAAATCATAAACCAAATTGAATTAAAATGTGATACAATTACGTCTCAAATACATAAATACATATATATATATTTATTCTCAAAATTTTCAAGATTTAGAATTTAAAATAAATTGATAATCGTGTCATATTTATAAATTCAAAAATTTATTTTAAATTTTATTTCATAAAAAAATTTTTTTAGGTTATGAAGTTCAAACTTAATTTTTAGCTCGTGAATTTTTAGAACACAGTAGTGATTCTATTCTTTTGTTTGTATACAACTCGTGAAATAGGAACCATTGTGTATATTTTCACTGCTTTTATGCTTTTAATTATCCATACTTTTGATTTTATATTGAATATAATTATATTCTAATTTCATAATTGTATATTACACAATTGTAAATTTCTGTACTATAATAAAAAAAAGAAATTTAAATTAATACAAAAAAAAAGAAGTTTAAAGATTAATTTGATAATATTATCAAATATTATCAAATTAAAATATTATCAATTATAAATATCTATTAAAATTACAAATTCAATTCAATTCAAATTTTAGTGTATTATATAGTATAATTATAAAATATTAAAGTTACAAAATTGTTTATTTGAAATACTATTATTTGAAATATTATTATTATTTTTCTTATCTCAATAAAATACTTATTTCAAAAAAGTATTTGTATGAATTAGTATTAAAATATATATTTAAAATAGTATTTCTTAATTTAAATATCATTTCAAAAAAAAATTCTATCACTTAAGGAAATAAAAATATTCTCATTTATTATTACTTACTTATTACTTATTTTTCTCAGTCTTTATTTAAACAAATAATTATTTAACCAAAAAATGACGATAATATTCCCAATATATGTATCTAAATGCACTTCACAAAAGTTTCACGAAAACTAACTAAATCGCAAACTATCTTGTTCTGCAAATACATACACACAACATATAATAAAATAGTTCATTTTTATCGTATAAATTTCGATAATATGAAAATTTCTCGAGTCAAATTCGCGATTTTAGTTTTCTTAGTTTTCTCATAACCATGAATATTACTGTAGTTTGCATTATGGTGTCCGAGATATTATCGAAACAAGGAACGAGATGGTTCGAATCGATTCGATCTGATTCGCGTTCGATTGAATTATTCGATGCACGTCTCGTGTGCAACATTTTTAATTTAAGTTCGACGGCATCGCGTTCTGTTTTTTTCTCTGGTACGGTCGATTCGTGAATGGATTTCAAATGGGACCAAAACGCATCAGTAATAATGGTACCACAAAATTATATGTTACTTCATCGAATAGAATGTACATCATCGATAACGTACGGACATTAGGACAGAAATTAGGTTAGAAATTCTACGATCAGGTAGTGTCGACTTGTCCTCCATAATCGATAAACTTTTCTTCTTTCAAAAAGAAACTTTTCTTTTTTCTTTTTTTTCTTTAAAAGATCGGAAAAGTAGTTGATGAGAATTGGATAAAGATCAAAGAAGAATTGTGACTTGAAATAACAAATTCATATTCTTTCAATTATAATGAAATAACGATATGTGAAACAACATTAGAAATTATTATAACAACGTTAGTATCGCAATAATTAGATATCAATTTAACTTTCGCTATATTTTTTTATATTCATCATCGTATAGAAGCTTTTGATGTAAAATGGTTTGTTTATTTTCTTCAATATAATTGATTTAATTAACCTAAAATATCGGTACTTTACGAATTGTAAGAAATTTATATTTTTTTATTATTTGATATTTATGTTAATCATATACTTGTTAGAAAAGTAATACAACTTAAGAATTACGACTTAAGAATTAATTGTATATTTAAATTTAAATATTATTCCTCAAATAGTGATTCAATATTATTATATTTTAATATTATATCAATTTATGTTATTTGCAATTCTATACAATGAAATATGAATTTTTTTTGTTCTTAAATAATTTTATAAAAATAAATTGCTAATCTTTTGAGACGATTTTTGATTAATGATATCTAAATTTTTATAAATCTAATTAAATGTAATAAATGTTAGTTGCTGATTCGTATATTTTATTTGAATCGCATGAAATTAATTTAAACTTCAAATATGCTTAATAAGCAGCTACAAATTTGTTCGAAAAATATGTAACTTTACTTATCGCTTTTAGTGTTTTCATAATTTAACAAACACTATCCATTGAATGTAGATCAGGTGTTTGCATCATGCAACTACTTTCGAGATTAAAAAAGACGGATAAAAGTAAAAAAATATATTGTTCATTTTTTGTCATTACATTAATTTTGTGTCTCGAATTTTCTTCTAGCAAAAAAAAATTTTCCGGCGATCCTTCTTCAAACAGTGCAATTTATATGTATAAAAATATTTATTTAAAATTTTCAAACTTAATACAGTTTTTATTTGACATAAAATGAACAATATTTTCTAACTAAAAATAATACTTGGAGTGAGAAATGGCAACAAGTGATTCGAGAAGTGGCAATCCTTGAATAACACACTTCATTTTTTACAATTTTAAGAAAAATTTTTTACATTTGATTAAAATTTTATTATCAGATTTATCATATTCCCTATTAGAATTATCACAAAAACTTTTATGAAGGGATTACATGTAAAAATTTATTTAAACAGAAAGAGTTTACTATTGTGTACCGATTTGATGATACATTTGACAGTGTTAAACGTGTTAACAAATATTCAGCAATAGCATTATTTATTCCTGTTATTAACAATAACTTTTTTTTGAATTTCAGGTTATCAGTAGGACCAGAATGAAATTTATTTACTGATTTTCAATACACGGAACACAGTTATCATATATATATGATTCTAAGTCATATAACATGATTTTGAATAACACGGAATCAATTAATCGTATTATTCCAGGATTTCATGTATATCGTAAGGTATGTATATCGTTGAGGTATGTAAGATTATATATCGTTTGATTTTATCGTACGTACCTCTAGAAACATATTTCTATACATATTTTAATAGTTTGAAATTAAATAAATAGATAAAACAGATGAATATTACACTGTCAAAAGAATCACGTCCTGCATAAATCGTTCGAAGTTTGAATTTTGACAAGAAAAATGAAAACGAACGAAAAGATGTTTGAAGCGCGTCGCGTCGCAGACTGAAGTTTTGCGATGAGTTTCGTAGGTTGGATGCCGGGACGCCAGGATACCGGGGACTTCGCGACGCATGCTCCAGGATATTACATGACATAACGGATGTGTTTAACATAGAATTTAAATGCAAAGAATTTCAAGGATTCTATCAATGATACATGAAATATTTAATCTAAATTTTTAAATTTGTTTAAATTTTTAAATATATAATTTTTTAATCATAATTACTAAAATTATATTACATTGTTTAAGATTAGATTAAAAATAAATATATTTATACATATATATGAAATATTTTTATAGGAAAGGAAAATAATATTAATTGGAATTTATAAAAAGTAATAATAAGAAGGAATTTGCTAGAATTTCTGCAATTCATTACAAAATATAAAACAAAGTTTGAAATTTATCTTTCCATCCTCTTGTACTAAAACGATTATATGGAACAATTTATTACTCACACGCTTTCTCCGTGGCTTACGATCCAATACCATCTTATTAATGCGAGGCTGTCGGGATCGGAGATGGAAGATGAAATAGTGAATGAGCCATCCTAAAGGTTATCGTAGTTTTTGAACATTCGCCTTGAAAAAGCATCTTTGTTGAAAAATTCAGACTTTTATTGATTATCATCGTCTGAATCAATAATATACATTTTTTTTAATATAAAATATAAAAGAATTTAATCTATATACACAATAATTTAAATCATAAATGAGAAAACAGTTTTTGATAATATTTTTCTTTGAATATTTTGTTTGAAATGATCATTAGGATTATGCCAAGATTATATAAATGTCAAGAAATATTTTATCTCTCTCGATTTATGCAAAGATTTATTCGTTATACATAATTTTTATTTTTATGCGGAAGAAAACTATAAATAAAATTTACTAATTATGAAAAAACTGATATAATTTAATAAAAATACTAGTGATGCAAGTACAAACGAAATAGAATAGATATAACATACATTTTTTTTTATCATTTGAGTTGAGGACTTTAAAACCATTACCATTTTAAATTTTTTTTTTTTTTATCACTCTCAATATCGATACAGTATAACATAAGATTGTAATATTTAGAATTAAAATTATATTTTAATATGAAATCACGAATAAAATCTTTTCTTATTATACAAAAATTTAAGATATTATTTCTATAAATATAAACAATCTACGTAAGTGATAAGTATATGTCCAAGACCAGTGGTTTCATAATTTATTATAAAATGTTATCAGTTATCGTATAATTTTTCATTACGATTATAATATAACAATTTATCTAAGTCTATTTTTAATAATTTTTCATATGTTTATACATATGACAAAATTTTTTATCAGTCGATTTTTTACCTTTTCAAATAATTTTCGAATATTTATTTTTTTTTTAAATGCTTATTAATAGATATATATCTATTAATAAATAAAATCAATAAATTCTATTTAAAGTTTAAATAATATTTGTATAACTATTTTATATTTCTTAATCATAAAGAAGTAATAGGAAATGGAAATGTGGTTTTGAGGGAAACGAAAGATTTCATAAAAATATCCATTTTATTTTTTTCAACTTCATTTTTTACGTGTCCCTTTTATTACATATAATAAAGTACTAATAATAACAGATATAACGATAATTTACTATAACGCGTATACAGTACATATAATAATAGTAATAATAACCACAGTATTTCATAATGGGACACATTAAACATTTTAAAACATATTACTTTTTTTTGACACAATAATTATCTCTATATAAAAGGTTATCAAGTGCTTTACAAAAAATGGATCACACCGAATTTGGTGCATCGATTATCACAAGATTGCTAAAGCGCCACAGCGCAAGTCCTTCCTTCAAAAAAAAATAAGTTTGTTGTGGGAAACACAAATGGAAATGTTTCTCCATTCTCACTAAATGCCTAAGAAAAATCAGCTACAGCAAGATGTATATCAAAACACGAATTACTCTCATTGAGCTTGCATTTAAGTATGATTCTAAACATATAATCACATTATATCGCGTATCCAAAACATTAAATTTTTAAAACCATCTATATTAAATTTTTCCAATAACTATAATTTTCTACCAATAATTATAAATTACATTAAATTTCAAATGGTTACATTTTGGGAAGCAGATGATATATGTATTTATATAACAAAATCTATTGTGGAATGAAATATATGAAAAAAATGATAGTGTTGAATTAAGTGTTGAACCGAACGATTTCGATGTAGAATTAAATCCAAATTAAGATCAATTAAAAATGTAAATTTTTATATTACCGCAAATTTAGTATATAAAAAAGAAACACAGTGTGTTCTTAGAAATAAAAAGAATTTTTCTGTTGTACAAAATATACAAAATAAATTTAAAGATTGATGATGGTACTTTAAATTACGTATTTTTGTCTTCGTTCGACAGATTTTAAACTTCGTTCACACTGGGTGTTATTTTTGACTGCTGGCACTGTTTTAAAATATTAAAAGACAAAAAATGAGTCTTTTATTTTTGTTACTTTATACTGAAATTGTTATATTACGACTAACTTCTACATTATTCAGTGGTAATCATGAGAAGCTTCCGTCTTATTAAACAAACAGTCTCTCTCCTCCTTAGTAGATGGAATATCTGAAGTCACGGGCCTTAAAACTTTCGGAACTTTGCTAACTTTACTGAGACCTTCAGTGATACCACTACCTCCGGAAACACTGGAAAAAAGACTGAGATCGTCACATTAGAACTGGCCAAAATGTAAATAATAAAATATATAATAAAATGTAAATAATAGAATTAAAAAATTCCAAATCCAAATTAATCAAATAAACAATTTTTATAAATAAATAATAAAAAAAATAATAAAATCAAATTCAAAGCACTATCTTTAATATGATAATGGGATTTTTTCAAATATATAAAAAAATATTAAATAAAATGAATACTCACACGACATCCATCTCATCATCCTCATCAGCTTGAATCTCATCGTTAGTTAATGTAAAATATGGATTTGCGGATGCTGCTCGGAACTTATATCCAGTAAGGACAAAAAAGACATATGTAGACATTTCTCGGAACATTTCATCTAACCATTCATATTGAAAAGGTACTGTAATCTATAAAATAGAATATATAATCGAAAATAAGATCTTTTTCAAATGAAGCAATGAAAAGAAATAACGGGAAACGTAATTACAACAATAAAAAATACCTTAAGTAAGTACACTATAATTCTTGTAAAGTAAATATAAGAAAATATCATAATATAGAAATGTTTAAAGAGCTTAAGTTTGCGTAAATTAACAGCTGCCTTGCCATCTATATGAGCAGCTTCTTCTACATGTTTAATACTCCAAACTACTGGAAATATAATAGCACCACAACAAAGCAAATCCACAAGAATAAAAACATCTCGCCACGTTTTGTATTCAATATCTCCTTCTTCACTTTCTTCGATTATTATTTCTGCCACATTTGCTAATACCTAAAAAAATAATATCTGTAAAATATTTATCCATCACTTTCCTCACTTTATTTTTCACAATATTAAATACAGGATTGATTCAATTACAGAAAGAGGATCACTTAAATATCTTAAGTATCATATTCTTATGAAAATGTATATATTCTTATATTTTTTCCAATATTCTTGTAAGATATGAAAGAACAACGATCTTAAGCATTCCAATTAAAATTTTCGCGCAATATTTGGAATGATATATAATCATTTAGCAATTACCATATTTATATGATTTTAATTTTAATAAAATTAAAGTATCTCCTTCTTTTTCTTATATATCTTATCTATTTAATTCTTATAAACATTAAATGATTTTATTTACAAAAGATTTCGATCGAAATTATAATAATTAAAGATATCGATTTTTTTATCATTCGTTTTATATTTATTTTCGGATTTCGAAAATCTAAAAAAATAAAAATTCTTTTATAAATAGATACTAACAAATATAATAATTTTTATAGAACGCTCAAATTTTGTATGGATTAAGTGGGATATTTCAAATCTGTAATGCATAAAGAATTAAATAGCTGTTTGACTGATTCACCCGTTATATGTATTAGTAATGCGATGTGTTTATATCAACAAAGATAAGTAGTGATCACATGTTTATACTATCACAATTGCATATGTATAAA